TAGCCAGTTACTAAGACAACATATACATGAGCCCGCCTGGCATACGACATTCTAGAGTGAGGGAGCTAGCAATCACATGACTATAGGCTCAAAAAATGCTTTGGAAATTAAGCTGAGATTGAAATTGAGGTGGCTAGAGCTAGGCTTGTTGTGTTGTTCAGATTGAGGCAAAACGAATTCTAAAAGTGGGAATCGCAGCATCCCTATGCTCCGCTTGGAAGGGATGATAGATTTCAACCGTACTTATTTAAGCACATCAAATTTTCCTGGGAAGATTTCTGCAGACATCTGCTTCTTTAAAAAAATACGGCACGAGACAGATTGCCGCGCGTAGTCAATGAAACCTTCTCTACATTTATTTCTGATGGGTCCTAAATTTTAAGTTAACATTTAAATATTTCTTCTTGTTTCAGATTAATGATGACAGTATGCCTAATCTAATGGTGATATTTCTTAATTACTTTGCTGGCGCAAATCCACTGCGATCCGGATCATTTTATAGCAAATGCGGATGGGATGGAATCGGGTCTCTTAAATCGTGCTGAAAATTTGCGTTCATAGATTTAATTGCCGAAATAATATGATAAATGCGAGTTTTACTGCAAGAGGTAGAATTGTAACATTTGCTATTTCTTCGACTCGAGAAAATTTAAATTAACTTTGCTTGTATTGGTTTGGTATTTGTTTGGCTGCATACTTCATTGCGTGGGCCCTCAATCCTTGGCACTAGATCCCTTGCCCACTGTCTACCCGGTCGGCTATTGACTAACGAGGAACCACATTTCTATTGCCATATGTGTTATTAAAGTTATGGAGACGATAAGTACTAATTTTGAGTTTTTTAAAACAGTTAAGTTAAATCTTATCTCAGACAGGGGTTTGTGTATGATCGATAGACCATAGTGATTCTTGTTTTGTGGAAATGCGTTAAACGATATGATTTCCACTAAAATTCAGCCTAGAAGCAGCGACCTCAGTAACATGTAACTATCTAATTTCTGAACAAAGTAACACTACATGCAGAGTAGCATTTGAAGCATCAGCTTGCTATGGGGATTAACTGCTTGAAGAATTTGATTTGGATCACTTGGGAGGTTTCGAGACATTCTTGGGAGCGTCAAGCAATTAGAATCGCACAGCAAAAATTGCGCAATCCGAAGCAGTCCATATTACTATTTTCAGGATGTTTGTTGAGGTAACGCAGCGACGGATTTTTAGAAAAACGACTTCGGGAAACCAAGTTCTCAGTTGATTTTAATTCTTTTCAGTTATATTCACTTGCGGGAGAGAGAATTTATCTTAAGCTTCTAGTGCTTACCCCTTTTACCACACTCTAAGTTATAATACTGAGGAATTTATGGGACGAATCGTCTATTAATTACAAAGATAAGCAACAAAAATACAGCACTAGACTCAATGAACTTTATATAGCGTCGCGATCCCAAGCCTCATCACTGTTTTCCCTTTATGAAAGCCTTTTTAAGACTTTTCTTTAAAGATTGATGAAGGGGCAGCGAAACCCATTTATTAACTACACAGGCGCAGGCCTCGGAAACATCTGTCAGATAATTGTCACGTTACTTGGTGTCAAGGTAAAAAACAGTTAAACTAAATTCATATTAGGATATAGCTAGGATCTAATTATTACATTTTCAGACTATTTCTAGTAAGTTAAATGGGATTTCATATTTGAATTTGGAACTGCCAGTGCATGATACAGAAAATACGAGATACAATGTACGCAAAGGAAACTCGTTGCTTTTTTCTACAGTGATATTTTATTGAAGATTTGATACTGAATAATTAGGCGTCAAAACGAACATTTAAAAAGTCTAAGTATTTTGCCACACTAGCCTCTTCTTTGTGTGTTTGATAAATTTATTCGAATACTCATTGATTCACACATGGGTGCTCTATGTGGGTATAGCTTCCTTGACTACTTCAGTAGAACTAGACGTTGTCTGTGTGCTATGTATACTCTAGTTCTGTCACGCCTATTTTAAGCAACAGATAAATAATTAGTGAAAACGAGGGAATTCATCCACGAAACAAAATTCTCTAGCTGTTGCTGAATTGGATACTTTTACTCTCGGCCCCATTTGACAGTAAAGTCATTCCTTGCTAGGCATTAGGCAGTAGTGTAGAAGGTGAAATTTCCAATGACAAATTTTAATGTCCATTTCGACGTTACCGACGCGCATAGCTTAAATCCTGCGTGTTTTTCACTTCCCTTCTTCCACATAATTCATCCAGATAATAGTCGACTGCATACTCACTTGCAAATGGTTTGACAGAATTTATTCTTTAATTTGTTTTATGGTTTTTGACTATGTGGAATTTGATGGCAGATAAGGTTCTTTGGTAGAAAGTCTTGTAGAACTGAAACGATATTATATCGCCTTTGGTTTTGCGTACTTATCTGCTGAGGCGCTCCAATCTTAGTTACCCTCATCGTTTAGGAACGAGTTTTCAACCATCGGTGATAGAAAGACTACTCGTGTTTTCTAACGTCACTGGGCACGTAATTATGGAGGAAGGTGAAATTTTTTCAAGGCAGAATGGCAGAAGAGAAGGTCAGTATCAGGTCATGGATAAATCTTCCAGTTGACAGTCACTTTAAGTGTATTAGAGTTAAGCTGAACAAATAATGTAGGATTTTTCAGCTTATCCACCAGTGATTTAAATCACAGCTAATACGGTGGCGCCACCTAGAAAACAGCTTAATTCTCCATGAATTAGTCCCTTTAGATTGTGATGCAAATGCGGCTACTATCACTATAATGCTTTGATAGTTTGTTTAACTGCCTTTTAGTTACGCGGGTGCTAAAGTCTCCACAGATTTCACTGCCGCTCGGCGGCCATGGCCTCTATTGGACCATGCCACCAACCCTCCAGGATCTTTTGCACGTCGACAATACACAATTTGCCCGGGTATTATGTCTTCCTTTGCCTTCAGGGAAGCCTCAAGGCGCTACAAAGCTAGTGTGAATTATTATAACCTCAGGGAACACTTGCGGAACTACTATGGGCCCACTCATCTCTCAGGACCTCGATCACAAAGTACTGCCATCAGTCCTAAATTTTATTAACAGAATTTCACAGTACCCAAACAAAAAGAAGCTGTGAACCGCCACTCTGATCCCTTCCTTTGTTTTGCTTTTCTATCCACTATTCCCTCCCCGTAACTGTACGCAGCATCACTCAACCTGTTAAGGTCACATGCGCAATCGAACCAGAGCTTGAAAAGAGCAACAACAAAGAAGAACAACTTGCTATGGTAAGTATGAAGTACACAAGTTAGTTCACGAAAATAAGTTACTCACCACTGCCGGACTAAACATGACAGTGGCCTTTTGTCAATCGCAATAACCACATCAAAATAACCTGGGTTGCACGTGACAAGTGTTTACAGCAGCAAGTCAGCCTGCCACGAGTTGTCATCTGGGTAAAAGCACACTCTTCCAACTTGAAGCATCCACCTTCAATGTGTATACTTACTTGC